ATTTGTTTTATTTGATTATACCACCAATTGACCCGAGTATATGTATCGTCTCTAAATAATAACAACACTAATCTCTCTCTGTAAAAATTTTCTGCGTTTTCCGTCAAAAAAATTACCCTAAAATTGTCATAGCATCATCGATTCCGGCTTCCTTTACGGTTCCGCGTATCCGCTTCTAATTTCACAGGTAACATAGCTTCTGATTAAAAATCTGAATTTATTCGTGATTAACTGTTGTTCCTATGACGTCTCTTAAAGGCCTCTTACCTCCGGCAAAACATACCGCTACGACGACGTTTTATGATCATTCAAACGATTCGTGGTTCGAGAACCGTAGTAAATCATCATCATCTGGTATCTCTGTAAAACTAGTACCTGTTTACTTGAAGCGTCAAGGTTTTCGTGGGGATGAGTTTGGAGATGGTATGGGTAAGGATAATGATAATTAATAGATCCAACAAAAGTACTCTTCCTGTTACTGTTGATGCTCATGGAAACGTGGTCTTTGACTCCATCGTGAGACAGAATAATAAGATTGTTTACTCTCACCACAAGGATCTTATTCCCAAGTTTCTTAAGAACGAAGGTGACTTGGATCACAAGGAACTAGAGGAGAAGCAGATACAAGAGACTTATGAGGAAACAAAAGCTGCCATTGAGAAGATTCTGAACGTAGCAACAAATCAATCGAGTACTACTGACTCAAAGTACATAAAGTATAAGCCATCTTTGTCCCATGAATCTAAAGAGAGGATTGTAAGGTTGGTGGAGAAGCATGTGGATCCACTTGAACCACCAAAGTTCAAGCACACGAGAGTTCCAAGGGCTTGTGGTTCTCCTCCTGTTCCGGTCTTGCATTCGCCTACTAGGCCTGTTACTGTCAAGGACAAACAAGACTGGAACATCCCTCCTTGTATCTCCAACTCGAAAAACGCTAAAGGGTATGTAATCCCTCTTGACAAACGTCTTGCCGCTGATGGGAGAGGCCTAGAAGATGTTGAGATCAGTGATGGCTTTGCCAAGTTATCAGAAGCGTTCTCTGTAGCTGAGCCGAAAGCTAGGGAGGCTGTTTCATTGCGGTTAAAGGTAAACAAGGAGGTGGAGATGGTGGAGAAGGAAAGAAAAGAGCAGGAGTTGAGGGCTATCGCCCAAAAGGCTCGGACGGAGGCTGCTGCGAGTGTTGACACAAGAGACCGTAAGAGGGAAACAGAGGAGAGGGAGAAGATTCGAGAAGAGCGTCGTAGGGAAATATGGTTGGAAGCTTCCGGGGGAAAGAAGAGAAAGATCACAAGGGACAGAGATCGAGATATCAGCGAGAAGGTTGCACTTGGAATGGCATCTAGTGGATGCAGAGGTGGTGAAGTTATGTATGATCAAAGGTCATTTGACCAAGAGCAGGGGATGGACTCTGGTTTTGCCGTTGATGACCAATACAACGTGTATGACAAGGGATTGTTCACTGCGCAACACGCTCTGTCGACGATGTACAAGCCAAAGAAGGATATGGATAATGAAATGAATGGGAATGCAGACGAGCAGCTCCATAAGCTCAACAACACTAAGAGGTTTAAACCAGACAAAGCTTTGGGGAAGAGACAAGGACCTGTTGAGTTTGACAAGGAAGCTGAGGAAGATCTTTTTGGTCTTGCACAGTGGGTGTGTGATTTGAATAATGGTGAGAAACCGGAGGAACTATGAGCCCAAGTGGTGGTCGTGGTAGCTCTTTAAGGGATGATTATTGTCGAACCATGATCAGTTTCCAACGTGGTCTCTCAAGTATAACCAGGCAATAGTTCTTTGATTCAATCTCTTATTGTTTTACTTTATTTTTTTATCTTGTCTACTTGGGTAGTTTTTCTTAAGGCTTTCGAGTTTGTTTCTTGCGTTTTTCTTGGTCAGGACATAACCAAAAGACCCATGTTTTTCTTGTCATGATTACTAGATTTTGACCCACGCCAAGCGTGTGATTAAATAATTAAATATGTTTTTAATCGAATTTAATATTTAGACGTATATTCTAATATTTATAAACACATAAAAATGATATGTATTGTACGTACATATAATAAAACTAAATTTTGATCAAACATAAATATATCTTATCCTTGTTATTTTTCATTTCTTCCATCTATTAAAAATAATCATGAATTTTTGTTTTTGAATATTTTAATACCGCTTTTGACTCTGATAAACAAATCTAGTATTATTGAAAATAAAATAAGATATTTTCAAATATTATTTATATTCTTTAACTAAAATTCTCTATATTAATTACCACATATTCGTTATTTTCATCTATTTGTTAATAAGAATTTTTAATAATTTTTATTAGAAAATGAATTCTTTAAAACCTCTTACGATGACGACACCTAGAATTTTTACCTAGTGTCTCCTCTATTAATATATTTTATACTACTTTTTTTTTTTTTTGTTAAAGAAAAACGAGCATTGGCTTATCTTTCAATGCATACACACACACCTGGTAAAGCCTACACTTGGGGTGATGCAGACACAACTTGAATCAAATACAGATCTTGTCCACAAATACAGATCTTGTCCTCTGACTTGTGCAACAACCATTTTAACACGATATACTCTGATATGTAGAACTATTGGTCTAGACAGATCTCGTCCTTTCATCTAGTATGTATTCTCATTTGGGGCAAATTCAAGATTAAGATCAAGATCCTGAATCAAGTCTTATAGAGCCAACTAATTACGAATTACGTCAATTACAGGGCATGAACGGCTCAAGCAACTCCAAGTTACATGAAGCAATTAAAACGCCAAGGGAATTATTAGAAAAAGTGTATACAACTGACTTCAAAGCATATTAACTAATAACTAGGAAATACAAATTCATTGATATACACCTACAACAACATTTTGCAAGAACTTAGTACTATTCTAAATTAGACCATACTTGGGACATCTGGAACAAGCACAAATAGCTCAGGTTCAATCTTCCATAAGCCATCGTTATCGAGTTTGATATGCTAGTATGAGAAAGAATAATATTCAGAAATTAACCTAACAAGATTTAGAAAACCAAATACTTAAATACTCCATCTTGTAATAGTAGAAAGTAGCACACTAGAAACTGACAGCTCTCTCATTAACTCTAAAATATGTTCTGTAGGATGACAATGCACCAGAAACCAAAACAAAAAATACCCAAAAATGTAAGGGAAAACAAAATGAAATCTATGATGCTAGGGGTGGAACGGATCCGGATATCCTGGAATTTCAAGGT